TACTGAGCTACATGAGTATGAATTCCAAAATATCACATTTCCGGATAGAAAGTCACAATAAATATCAGCCATTCCCCAGGACGTTCGTTAACCGACAATCTGAAAACCAATGCACAGGACTGAAGCGGAAGTGGAAATGCGTGATCAATAATAAAGGTAATTACAAATATTAGTCAATATGATGGTGGAAAACAATAGTTTGTAACTCAGCTGCGGGCGGGTGCAAATATTAGTGCAGTTTTATTTGCTCTTCCCGTTTACATGTCCTTCAATTTTATGTTCGGTTCGATCGGGTTTGTGATTGGAGATAACCGCTGATGAAAATATTTTTTAAAGCATCATATGTACAGTACTATTATTCCCGTTTAAAGTGGTGAAATCCCGATACAACGAATCTTCCATTACAACACATTTTTCAATGGTGTAAAAAAAGTTTTTCATCGTCCCACCGCGAATTTTACACTAACAGTTCTGAACATTTGAAAATACAGAAAATGCTATATTCGGCAGACTAAATAATTTCTTAAATTTACCAACAATTTATAGAATTCCTTTAGTATTATTACAACTGGACACAATTTTATTGTGGGTAGAATTCCGTACATTAAACTTTGTGGACTTTGAAAAAGCTTGCACGTTATTGAATTATTTAGTGGGAAAAAACTTTCACAATAAAAAATTTCGCCTCCAAATTTTCCAAATGAAAAGTAAAACAAATAAATTATTCAAGGTAATGCATGAAAAATACATGCATATTATATTATATTAAAATAAATAAAAGAAGTACAGTTCAGTTAAAGTGTCATTCTGAAAAAGTAAGAAGTATTGCATGTCAATATATTCCTCCCAAAACTATAACGCATTGAATTGATACATCAATCCGACATTTTGAAAGGATAATATAATTTAACAGCGACGGCTGAAAACTTTCACAAACATTTTCCTGATGCTAATTTCATTCCCTCAAGAGCCCATGACTGAAAGTCTTTGCATATTTTACTCGTACTCCGCTATAGGAACGATTCACAACTTTTAATCGTTTTTCATTTCACGGAATTCAAATTCCTTTCGGTGACATTAAAAACGATGCTGCGTTTGGGAACGAAATGCCTCTGGGCAAGATCCGCTCAATTGCTCGCAGGTCCCCGAAATGCAAAATTACCAACAGCAGTAGCTCATAAGGTTCTGATGCTGCCATTCGAAGAACAAAGGCGTAATTGCACTGGACATGCTGCTGAGCACTTGACTGAGGAATCCGTGGGACGTTTGGAGCAAAAGTTCATCAATTATTTCAGCGATAAGGAAATCGACGGGTGGGATTTGCGACAGAAAATCACGGATTTGTTCTACGAGGACATGGTACCCAGTCCGAAGGTCGTGGAGTCTATCTTGGAAGCTTGTCGTCGGGTCAACGATTATGCCTTGACCATCAGGTCAGTGAACCTTATGCAGAAATCATACGTGTCTTTCAGGAAATACTTTCTTTCCAACGATTATTTACTCCTTTTAAACCTTATATCTAATTAATTTTTGCAATCGAAAATATAAACTTTTCTTCAGAATGGAATAACGGAAATTTTGAGACGCTTATTTGGGAGACTTGACTTCGTAAATCGCCAGTGAAGAATAGATTACAATTTGAACCTCGCAATTCGACAGTTAAATTTGCAGGGAGGTTGACTTGCAATTTGACTAGCTTTGGCCATATTTCCGCATTTCTGTACGTTTTTTGAATTTCATGGAGTGCTTTGCAATACGTAAGATTCGCAATTCGACCCTAGTTTGGCAACGGATTAGAGTCGAATTTTGCAAACACGATTTTTCCAGAATGGCCAGGTTTAAACAAATTTGTTTTTTTTTCCCCTGCAGATTTCTGGAGGCACTTCACGCCAAGACTGGCCAAGATGAGGCGATTTTTGAATGGCTGATGGCTCAAGTTAAGCCGACTATGGATAAGCTAGGGATTAGCACACTGAAGCAGTTGGGATATGACAAACCAGAGCTGTGGATGGAGGATAACGACGATCTATGAAAACACCTCTTAAACGCAATTAATCACCCAATTTTTCATCATGCCAATAATTTTTTGTCAATGTTTGAATTGTGCGACAATAAAGGAAGGGCTTATCCATTTATTTTGCAAGTTGGTTCTTTGGGGATTTACAAAGCTTTCAAGATTTTCTAATTGTCATTTGAATATTTGTGTATTTCAGTAGTTTTTTCACTACATTAGTACACAAGTAAAAATTATCTTCAACATTTAAATCTGGGGCGTACACTCGTATTGAAATGAAACCCATCAACCTCCGCGAAAATTTCTCGATTTCGAAATAATTTACGAAATGGCGTTAAATAATTCAAATCTTTGTACAGGAAAATTTTCTTAAAAGCTCTGACAGAAATATAACTTTTTATACCTATTTCAAATGGTTTCCACACCTAAAATATAATTTTTCTGCAGAACAGAAACTGCTAGGGACTTTTACCATTAATATTCGAAGGTTTTCTGTCGAATACAGATGGACTCAAAAGTCTTCGACTGTCAATTCAGATTCTCAATAATTACAGTATAGGCATATCACTTCTACCGTTCGAATTTTAGACCCTGTAAATAAAAAAATCGCAGCGTCAATACATCAACTAATACTTAATTAGGCAGAAGAAAAAGTGTCAGCTATAGGATCCATGGTTTTCATACAACCAGGATTTATTCTCTCTCATAACTCACACATTCCACCAATAAATTCAAAAAATGTCTTCCAATTGCTCCAGGTTGTCTGATGGGAGGAAATAACAACATACTGAACATCAGTTTCAGAATTTTCTAGCATGGACAAAAATAAAATAGTGTTTCATACAGTACAGTACATGATTGAGCATGCTTGACGATTTCCCGTCTGTTTTTTTTTTCTTTGAAAAAAAAGGTGGGGGATGCATTTTGCAAGAAATTGTTCAAATGTTCCACTGAGTTGACAAGTGCTCCGTTGAGGGCAGAAAAAGCATGATTGAAGAAAAGAAAAACGAAAAAAGCTTCCGCAAGTTTCAGCAGCATACATATATGAGGAAAACCAACACATTTTCCCCATAAAATGCTCTGATAGTTTTTTTCCGTCATCATCATCATCATCTTCTAAACCTTGAATAAGTAGTCGAGTACAAGCTCGGGGACGCCCCCCGGGTGGCCCGACTCAAGGATGCATAGGACCTACTGGCAGAGGGGGACGACCCTCGCATGGGCGCCACGGGGGCGGCTGTAGAGGCCGCCGGCGACGTGGATGCGGACGCGGGATTCCCTCTGGCACTCTGCACTTTGCTACCTAAGGTCAGAGGCCTGTTGTCTCCGTAGGCAGACGGTGGTCTGTAAATGGTCTTGCCAGACTCTTCGTCCTCTATGGAAGACTGTCTTTCCATTGGTGCTGGTTGGTGACTGCTGGTGCTGGATGTGGCACCAGCACTACTAGGTCCTACACTGCGTTCTCTGGATTGACTCCGCAGACGTTCCCGCAGTCTGGAGCCCAAACCCTGTTTCTGTGAGCAAAGGATACACTATCTGTACACAAATATCCTCAAGTTCTGGAATTATTTTGATGTTATTCCAATGCATGGGTGTGTTATGCAATGAAAATTTGGTACTTTCCTGTTATCTCTGTACCTCATTCCTAGACTGCACTACCATCCAGACAAATCTTTAGGAAAAGTTCATAATCACAACAACCTACCAGAAACTGTGAATTTTATTTTTCCGCATCCTGCTGAAACTGATTTTGGGAGGCGGTTAGGTAAAGTTAGGTTAGGTCAGGTTATGTTAGTTGAAAATATATTTTACTTAACATAACCTGACCTAACCTAACTTTACCTAACCACCTCCCAAAATCAGTTTCAGCAGAAACCCAAAAAAAGCAGAAACTGATTTTGGGAGGTGCAGTTAGGTGAAGTTAGGCTATAGGTCAGGTTAAATTGGTCAGAGGGAAGGTACAGAGATAACAGGAAAGTAGGTACAAAGATAACAGATAAAGTACCGAAAATTCTCCTAAAAGGTGATCAGCAGACCATTTCCTTTTGCAATGACACCATTGACCAGCTGCCTATAGATGGCACTATAGACCTCTAAGCAGTTCTGGACCCCAAGAACAGTTCATGGGGTCCAGAACTGTTCAATGGTTGGTGATCAACTACTCATTGGACACTGAATTGCTGCAGATCACTGTACAGTATAACCTACTTTCTTCATGGAGGAAGAGTCTCCTTGACTGGCCTCATCTTCTGCTGCTGTGCCAAGCACCTCAACAACTTCCCCAACTGAAACCATTTCTCCTGTGCTTCCAGTGTCACTGTATTCCCTGGTAAACACACATGACAATGAAGTGGAAATCTCACTTTTCTAATTTTCAAGATGCTGAG